TGGGGAGCGTGCAACGGTCAAAGCAGCCGCTACAGCCTGGGTAATAACACTTCACTTCTGATATTTTCCAGCCTATTAATCTCCAAGTCATTTAAATAGTTGCCCAAAAGGTGCGGGTAATCAATGTTAATTAGAGTTGAAAGATCAGCGACTTTCTTAGATGAGGTCCTGCCTGGATTATTTGGTGCCAATCAATAGCATCTCGGCGCTCGCTCAGGCTCTCGCCTCACCTTTATTTCAACCGCTCATTGATTTTGGGATAGGTAACCTGCAGAGGACGCGAGGATTTAAGGCCAGCTTCAGAGGCAGGTTTGCAATTCAGGAGCCACTTCTGAAAAGACCAGATTTTTTTGATTTTCATCTTTTTTTCCCTCCCTGAAATGGCAGCTCTTGGTCCCCGGCTGCAGGCAGCTCTGTCCTGGGTCCGGGCATCTCCAGGTGGTGCAGAAACACCCTGGGATGCTGAGGGGGTGTTAAAATGGCTTTAATAGTGTCACATGAGGGGGGTGTGGATGGGCAGAGGGAGGATGGGGGCTGCAGAGTGTGCACCGGCTCAGCCTTGGGCACAGAAAAGCATTGTCCTATCCCTCCCTCCCTCCCTCCATTCCTTCCATCCCTTCATCCTTCCCTCCCTCCCTCCGTCTCCTATCCCTCCATATCCCATCCCCTCCCTCCGTCTCCTATCCCTCCATATCCCATCCCCTCCCTCCATCTCCTATCCCTCCATATCCCATCCCCTCCCTCCCTGCCTCCCTCCCTCTCCCACCCTCCTTCCCAGCTGACTCCAGGAGAGCTGAGGGCTCCCCAGGAGATGTCTGGGGACTCTTCCTTTAGGATACAAGCCCAGAAAATGAGACAAACCCCAGGTTTTTCCCTCCTCACCTTCTGCTTCCTGACACCCCTTTGGGTAGCTGCCGAAAGTGTGCCGGTGCCACTCATGCCCAGTGCCCGCCGCCTGTCCCTGGGTGACACCTGCGTGACTTGGGGACAGTCTCAGGGACCCAGTTTTGGCGGCCGGGGTCCCCGCTTCCCGGCGA